GCAATTCCTTTTGGCACTTTCTGCCCCATTGCCAATCCTAAATATGAACTCATGCCATCCCAGCCCAACCGGCCCCCCCCCCCCCGCCCCCGGCACCCTTTGCTAAACAGAATATGCGCACGCACACGTTTATCAAATATCATAAGTTTTCAACAATACCTCGCCGAAAATCTGACGAAGTGCACCCGCGCGCGCCGCCGCGCGCGCTCGCCGACATCCGCCCAGAACCTTCGCATTCACAAGCGCTCCAGCATCGAGTGTCGAAAGACAGTATATATGCATATATAAAACAAACGTGGTTTCGCAACGCGCATTTTCAAAAAGCTGCCTGCGCGCGCGCCCTTGCGAATTCTTTAGAAAACCATTGGTTGTTCATCTTTCCCAGAAGAGGCCGCCGAAAGGGTTTCGCTCGCGCGCCCGTCGAAATCGATCGAACGCCCTTGCGCGCGCGCCGTCGCGAGAAGCTTTTGCAGAATAAAAAAGAAGCGCGCGCGTCGTTTCACGGGCGCGCCAAAATCCTTCAGCGAGCGCTGGGCTTCGCGAGGATGTCGAAATCGATTGCCAGGAACAAATGCAACCATAAGGTTTCGCAACGAGGATGTTCAACAAAGCTTGCGCGTGCGCTCTCGCGAACTATTGAGACAAGTTTGTCTCTTCAACAAGTTCATGGCGCGCTGCCAAACGGGCTTTGCGCGCGCGTGTCGGAGTCGCTCGAACGCCCTCGCGCGCGCGCCGTCGCGAGAATCCTTTCAGCAAACAACGGCGCGAAGTGCGCGCGCATCGTCGCGCGCGCGTGCCCGAATCCGCCCAAAACCGCCGGTCTCGAAGCGATTTCAAAACTGAGTGCCCCAACGCACAGACAAAAATCAAATGGTTGCGCAGCATCAGTTTTCAAAAAAGCGCGCGCTCGCGCCCGTGCGAGTTCTCGGGGGAGCCAGAGGTTCGTCGATCTGTTTTAATGGAATTCTCCCAAACGGGCCTCTGGCGCCGAATGCCGAACTCATTCGCGCACCCTTGCGCGCGCGCGCTGGCGGGGGGGGGTCGCGATCCGTCTCGAATAATATCATGCGGGCCCCTCTCGCGCGCCAGCCGCACGCGCGTGTCGAACTCTTTCCCAAACCGCCATCACAGACGCGAGGGCGAAGTCGTCGTCGTCGGCGCGACCATCCTCCGCGCCGTCACTGGCCGCGCCGTCGTCGCTGCCAGCGTCGTCACCAGCGTCGCCGCTATCATCGTCGTGACAACCGTTGCCGCGATACCGCGACCGCCCAAGTCGCCGACTCGCAGCGAAGTGCCCGTTGGGGCGCGCCGAGCGGTCAACGCCGCCGTGGCCGCGTCGGTCGCGCCAAACGAGCTGGCCGCTGCGCGAGCGCGAATGCGCGGGCTGTCGCGGCCGCAGAGATGCGCCAGCCAGCGCCGAACACGCGTCGCAATCGCCGCCGCGCGGGGCTCGCAAGCCAAGTTGCGGGCGGGTGGGTGGGATGATTGCGCGAGCAATGGAGTGGGCAATCATTGCGAGCAGAAATGATTTCTCCTTTCTTAGGAGACTCTACGCCCCCCCCCCCATCCCTGGGGATTATCACTTTCCCTTTTCGTATTGCAATTTACATGTGACTCTGCCTCGTCGCCCACCGTAAAGATGAATTCATGAGACCCCAGGGGATTCGGCATCGGCTTCCCGCGCCATCCTCCGCAAAAAAAAAAAAAAACGATGCGCGCGCGCTCGTTGATCGCAATTCAGAAGTTGGCAAGAATCCTTTAAACCAAATGAAACGAAGGGCGCACGCGCGCGCCATCGCGCGCGCATGCCGAAATCTTCGCAATTTATAGATTTCGCAGATATTTCAAAATCGAGTGTCCCAAATCAACGTTGATATGCGCCTGGCGAAGGATCCAACCATGTGCAGTTGTGAATACCGCAATTGCGAATGCCATCTTCGCACGCGCCCCCTATGCGGCCGCGGCTTCCCGCCGGAGCCCGACATGCTCAGGAACGCGTTCGCGGCCGTCTTCACGGGCGCCGACGACGACAAGGGCGGCGCCCCGCTGACTGTGGAGCAGAAGCAGGAGAGGGCTTTGAGAGCCATGAGGGAGGAGGTGGCGTTGCACGTCGACAAGGCGGAGCACGACGCCCGGGCGCGGTTGTTGGAGCAGCGCAGCTCTGGGGCCACGATCCTCGTAAGGGGTGCGCCGCAATGGCCCGGGGCCGCCGCGCGAACCCTGCCGCCGGCGCCTTCGGTGGAGCTCCTGTGGGGCCGCGATCCCCGTGAGGGGCGCGTGCCGAAATGGCCCGATGCCGCCGTGCGAACCTTGCCATTAACGCCTTCGCTGGAGCTCCTATGGGACCGCGATCCTCGTGAGGGGCGTGCCGAAATAGCCCGAGGCCGCCGCGCGAACCCTGCCACTGGCGCCTTCGGTGAAGCTCCCTATGTGGCCACGATCCTCGTGAGGGGTGTGCCGAAATGGCCCGAGGCCGCCATGCGAACCCTGCCACTAGCGCCTTTGGTGGAGCTCCCTTTGCGGCCACGATCCTCGCGCGGTGCGCGCCGAAAGGGCAGCCGTGCGAACCCTGCCGCTGGCGCCTTCGGTGGAGCTGCCTATGGGGCCGCGATCCTTGTGAGGGGTGTGCCGAAATGGCCCGAGGTCGCCATGCGAACCCCGCTTCTGGCGCCTTCGGTGGAGTTCCCCATGGGGCCGCGATCCTTGTGAGGGGTGTGCCGTTATAGCCCGGGGCCGCCATGCGAACCCTGCCACTGGGGGCCTTCGGTGGAGCTCCTTATGCGGCCACGACCCTCGTGAGGGGTGTGCCGAAATGGCCCGAGGCTGCCATGCGAACCTTGCCGCTTGCGCATTCGGTGGGGCTCCCATATGGGGCCACGATCCTCGTGACGGGTGTGCCGAAATGGCCCGAGGCCGCCATGCGAACCTTGCCGCTTGCGCATTCGGTGGGGCCCCCATATGGGGCCACGATCCTCGTGAGGGGTGTGCCGTTATAGCCCGGGGCCGCCATGCGAACCCTGCCACTGGCGAATTTGGTGGAGCTTCCATATGGGGCCACGATCCTCGTGAGGGGTGTGCCGTTATAGCCCGGGGCCGCCATGCGAACCCTGCCACTGGCGAATTTGGTGGAGCTTCCATATGGGGCCACGATCCTCGTGAGGGGTGTGCCGAAATGGCCCGGGGCCGCCATGCGAAGCTTGCCGCTGGGACCTTCGGTGGAATTCCCTATGCGGCCACGATCCTCGTAAGGGGTGCGCCGATTTGGCCCAAGGCCGCCATGCGAACCCCGCCACTGGCGCCTTCGGTGGAGCTCCCTACGGGGCCGCGATCCTTGTGAGGGGTGTGCCGAAATGGCCCGAGGCCGCCATGCGAACCCTGTCACTGGGGCCTTTGGTGGAGCTCCTTGTGGGGCCACGAAGCGCTGCATTGGGTGGGTGACATGCAGAGAGAAAGGAGGAGGAGGAGAGGGGGAGGAAGAGAGAAAGGAGGAGGAGAGGGGGAGGAAGAGAGGAACGCGGGGCACCGTCGCTTTAAAACGAGGACCCAACACCACAGGATGGTTGGGAAAAACAATGGGCGTCGCAACGATGACATTCAAACACAAGCCTGCGCGCGCTCTTGCGATTTTTTAAGAAAACGGTTTTTTTGTTCAACTGTGTCATATCGTGCTACCAGACGGGCTTCGCGCGCGCATGTCGAAATCGTTCGAACGCCCTTTGCGCGCGTGCTGGGGTGGCACGATCCGTGTTGAATCATACCATGCGGGCCACTTTCGCGCGTCAGCCGCGCGCGCGTGTCGAACTCCCCCCAATGCCTTCATCACCGACGCGAAGACGCCGTCGTCGTCGTCGGCGCGGTCAGCATCGGCGCCGTCAGTGGCTGCCCCGTCGTCGCTGTCAGCATCACCGCCAGCATCGCTACGATCAGCATCGCGTCTGCCGATGTCGACGTTGCCATGATACCGCGACCGCCCAAGTCGCCGACTCGCAGTGAAGCGCCCGTTGGGACGCGCCGAGCGGTCAACGCCGCCGCGGCCGCGTCGGTCACGCCAAACTAGCTGGCCGCTGCGAGCGCGAGCGTGCGCGGGCTAGCGCGGCCGCAGAGATGCACCAGCCAAAACCATGCACTCATCGCAATCGTTTCCGCGTGGGTTTTGCAAACCAAGTTGCGGGTGGGTGGGCGGGCGGATTGCGCGAGCAGTGGAGTGGGCAACTTCAGGTTAGGCATGGTGAACCCTCCTTTCTAAAAATACGATAGAGTGTACCCCCCCCCTCCCGGGATTATCGGGCCCATTTTTCGCATTGCAATTTGCGCATGGTTCTGCCCCATCGCCCACCCTAAAAATGAGTTCATACCACCCCGGGCAGGCGGGCATCGGCCACCCGGGGTCGGCATCCAGGGCGGGGTGGGAGGGTGAGCCCGGGGGCGGGGCCTCGGGCGTGGCGTCGCGGCCATCGTTAAGGGCGGCCCCCAGGGAGGAAACGGCGTAGGGGCCGTCGTCGAGGGCGGCCTCGCAGGCAGCATCGGAGTGGGGGCGCCGGCCCGGGCAGGGAGCAGCATCGGAAAGTTGTCGTGAGCAGCGCCGGAGGCGTCGTCGGAGGGAACGGCGTCGGAACCGTCGTCGGGAGCGGCTCCAGATGCAGCGTGCACAGACACACACGCACACACACGCGCACACACACACACACACACTTTTTGGCGTCGCGGCCACGCGCGCGGCGTCGCGGCGTAGAAACACACACACACACATACATACATACACACACACGCACTGCCACATTCACACATTCACGCATTCATTCACAAATTCACACACACACACACACACTTCGCGACGATGTTGTATAGATTTGATTGGCGCGCTTGCTGGGTTGATGCATGATCAAGTTTCGCCACGTAATGGAGCAGAGAAGTCCGGGACACTAAAGCACGTACGCATCCGCTTCGTGTTTGAAACATGTGTGGAATGTTGCGAGACATGGGCACGGGAGGGTGTGAAGGCCGCCGCTTTATTCGTCGTCGCAGTGGGTGTGCACGACGAGTTCGGCTTCCTCGCCCCAGGTCACCCCGCCGACAGTTCCATCAAACCTGGAAGTTAGGGTTTCGTTTTTGTTGCATGCCCTTCCAATTGGGCATGTTCGTCTCGCAACACAATGTAGGCATGCGGCATTGGTTGAACATGTCGAGTGCAGTGTGGTCGCCCGAGATTCGGATTGCACTGCGCTGGAGTATGAGAGAATGATGGTGATGTCGCGGGTTCTCGCTCTTACCAATCACTCACACTTGTTATGGAATTGCATGTGGTGTTTATTATCGTTCTTGTTTCAAGGTGGTTCAGGGGTTGTTCCAGAATGCCGCGGGTAGGAAGGGGAATATTCAGGCTGCCTGGCCGTTGACCGTACGGGCACAAATTAGTTCGGGTGTGTATGGTTTCCACAGAGCGCCCTTACGAATAAAGTTCCTGCTTTGTTCATTCCTTCTCGTGGCTGTCCTCGGGATGGCCCAGCGTACTCTTTTGGTTACAGAGAATCCAGTCGAGCGCGTGTTCTGACATCTCAGGAGGGTAGGCGAGGAGGTGGAGGGCATGGCGATTCAGAGAGTGAAGCGGAGAAGGAGAGAAGTCGAGAGAAGTAACGCAAGAGCACGTACAGCCGAGATCCATTTTCAAGCATAGTGGTTTGCATGCATGTGGGTTCGACGCCCTCGCGAAAGGCACCATCATTGCCAAACTCGTCGATCTTGTTCGTATAGAAAGGGCGATGATGCCAAGGAGGCGAGGTGGTGGCATGGTGACCGTCACCCCGCCCCGTTGCATCACCTCAGCCGTTGCCAATCCAACACTATCCAATCGATTGCGCATCGTCACCTCCAGTATTCTTGTTGACTGTCTTGCTGATGTTTCTGCAGCCGTCGTGGCCGTAGCCGTCATCATCCATCTTGCCACCCTTTTTCCTGGGGACCGTTTGCGAGTCCGTAGCTTTTGCGGCTCAGGCGTTCAAATGCGCAGTGTGGCTATCGGACACTCGCTTCGAATCTGAAGGAAGGGGCGGCCGACCCTCGCAGCGGGCCGTTAGCCAACGAAGTCGGCGACCCCCCCATCGCCCCCCGACGTGCAGGGCTGGCCGGGAAAGCCAGCGCCCGGCGTTTCCTCATGATCCCCCAGCAAGCCAGGAGGAGGGGGAGGAGGGGCCCTCTGGAAAAGGCGGGCGGAAGGGTTCCCCGACATCGTCGATCATCCATGGGAATCGGGCTGTGCTGCGGCCGCGACAGGCAGGAGTACACAGACGAGCCGTCGAGCGGCGGCCTCAACTATCGAAAACGCTTCCGGCGAGTCACCGCTGCCTCCGGCCTTTTGGGAAACGCCTATGTGGCCAGCCTTTACGCCAAAAGTTCGATGAAACTGCTTGGGATATGTGCGTTCCCCAGCCTTCTTTTGGGACGCAGTGGAAGGAACCAGCCTGTTCAGAGGAGGATCTGCTTCCAAGCACAACCAAGTCACACCGCGCACCTCCTATTTCGCAGCGCGAGCGTCAGCCCCCCTACCGCATCGCACTGCCAAGCCACGGAATGTCCAGGTACCATCCAAAATGACGTTTGGCATCGTGCCAGGATGATTTGGTACCATGCCGGGGAAATTTGAGTCGTGTTGGAGTGTGTTGGAATTGTGCTGGAATAGTTTGGTAAAGTACCATGTGGAGTTGGTGTTGTATCACACTCTTATGGCATTATGCAAAGTTCGCGTTTGCATCTTCAGGCCGAAAGGCCCTTAACATCATACCAGAAACCCTTGGTTGTCTACCAAGTTTTTCCCGTATTATACCGCAGCGTCGTTTGGTACGATATTTGGCGTCGTTCAGGACAATGTTTCGGAGTCTGGGGCTCTGCAGTGCGAAGGGGCGGGGGGCGCGCAAGAATGTGGAGAAGATCGATCGGTATGCGGATCGTTTGCTGGCGCACGAGGTCACGGCCATGCTCCCCGCGAGCAAGTTGGCAGTGCCTGGTTCCCATTTGGAAGCGAGGGTGGTCAAAAGCGGGGTAGGTTTTTGCGCCTGTCAGCCAGGGCTCGGGCCATCATGAAGCCATATGTGGCTTCTTGGGCCGTCTCGGAGGCCTCTTGGGCCGTCTTGGAGCCATCTTGGGCCATCTTGCGCCCATCTTGGGCCAGGCTCAGGCTTGGGCGCGGGGCCTCACGAGGCTATCTTAGGCTTCCTGGGCCGTCTCGGAGGCCTCTTAGACCATCTTGGGGCCATCTTGGGCCGTCTTGATCCCATCTTGGGCTGGGCTCAGGCTTGGGATCGGACCCTCACGGGGCTGTATTCAGCGATGGGACCGTCACGGGGACCTCTTGGGCCATCTGGGAATCCTGTCGGGCCGTCTGGAGCCACTGGCATTGCAAGGCAACGTATCGTAGTTACCAGCGACACTGGCGACGGGGATAGCGAAGACGGGGACTTATCGTCTGTACTTCCTCCAGCCTTTTTATCTGCCTCTTACAGGATGATGCGCCAGTCTTGGAGCGCGACGGGACTACAACATGGGAAGTAATTATCCCAGTGCGACCCTACCTAGGAGTTGGAGCCCCTAGGAAAGCAGCATTAGTAGTAACAGAAAAGCTAAGCTAAAGCTAAGATAAAGCTAAGGTAAAGCTAAGCTAAAGCTAAGATAAAGCGAAGCTAAAGCTAAGCTAAAGCTAAGCGAAAACTAAGCTAACGCTAAGCTAGAGCTAAGCTAAAGCTGAGCTAGAGCTAAGCTGAAGCTAAGCTGAAGCTAAGCTGAAGCTAAGCTGAAGCTAAGCTAGAGCTAAGCTAAAGCTAAGCTGACGCTAAGCTAGAGCTAAGCTAAAGCTAAGCTAAAGCTAAGCTGAAGCTAAGCTAAAGCTAAGCTAAAGCTAAGCTAAAGCTAAGCTAAAGCTAAGCTAGAGCTAAGCTAAAGCTAAGCTAGAGCTAAGCTGAAGCTGAGCTAACGCTAAGCTAGAGCTAAGCTAAAGCTAAGCTAAAGCTAAGCTGAAGCTAAGCTAGAGCTAAGCTAAAGCTGAGCTAGAGCTAAGCTGAAGCTAAGCTGAAGCTAAGCTGCTAAGCTGAAGCTAAGCTAGAGCTAAGCTAGAGCTAAGCTGAAGCTAAGCTGAAGCTAAGCTAAATCTAAGTTAAAGCTAAGCTGAAGCTAAGCTAGAGCTAAGCTGAAGCTAAGCTAAAACTAAGCTAAAGCTAAGCTAAAGCTAAGCTGAAGCTAAGCTAAGCTGGGTGAACCCAGGGGGCGCGACTGGGGGAACCGCGGGGCGGGGACTGGGGGAACCGCCCGGGGCGTGTTACACTGCCCGGCCCCTTTAAGCTAGAGAGTAAGAACCCTTCTAGGCAGAGCCTAGGTAGGGAAAAAACGCATAGGCCAGACAAGATGCTAGAGAAAGTTCCTAGCCCCACAACCATTGTGGTGATCCTGCGAGTCGCGGTATTCATGTATCTTGTTGCTCGCAGGCTCTGGCGCTCCATAGCGTCGTGGTCCCTGCCCACCATTGGAGCCTTCGATCGGCACTATTTTGATGGACGCCCGGATGCGCTCGGCGCTGGGGAGTTCATTGCATTCTGACCCCCGCGTGGAGCTCGCGGATGCGCTCGTTGCGCCGATGGTTTCGTGGCGCGTTGGGGCCAGAGTGGGCGCGATGATGTGTTCGGCGCCGAGGGGTTCGTGGCACTCTGAGACCCTAGTAGACGCGAGGATGTGCTCGGCGCCGAGGGGTTCGTGGCGCTTCGAGGCATTGTGAACCCTTGTGAGACGCGTGATTTGGATCGGCGCCGAGGGTTTCATGCCACTTTGAGACCTCTTGGGGCGCATGGATTTGCTCGGCGCCGAAGGTTGCGTCGCCAGTTGAGGCCGGGAGAGACGCGCAGATGCGCTCGGCGTCGAGGGTGTCGTGTCACCTGGAGGCCGCATGAGACTCGCGGGTGTGCTCGGCGCCGATGGTTTCGGGGCACGCTGCAGCCCTTTGGAACAGCCTGAAACCGCTCGAGACCTCCATCGGGATCCATCTGGTGTGTAAGTTTGCACCGCTCATGAAGATTCATGGGCTGACGCCGCACCGCCGACCCTTTTGGGCGGCAGTATGAGTGAAACAAACGGAGTTTGCGGAACGCGCTCGATTTCTGGGGAATCTTAGGGTTGACGGGAAGCGCGTTTTCGGAACGAGAAGGTATGGGAATGTTCTAGCATTGTTGGAAAATATAAAAACTAAGACGCGAGGGACAACTTGCTGCTGGGTGAAAATGTTCATCGCTTGCTGGATCCCCATCAAATTGAACTTGTCCGTTTCGCTTGAGACATTCTCGAAACCTTGAGATTTTGAAATCGTATGTTTGAGACGCCTTTCGTCAAACATGCGGCTCTCGCTCGAGACATCTTCGAACAATGAGCTACTGAGCTAGCTCACGAACTTTACCGAATCGTTTGAGATTGCCTTCTCGCCTGAGAGATCCTCAAAACATTGAGATGTTGAGGCCTTGTAGTTAAGACGTATTCCGTTAAGAAATGAGGCTCTCGCTGGAGATATCTTCGGATATCGGCACTTGCAGCATCTTAGCTCGAGGTCCTGTCTCCTCCGTCTCTTCCGTTTCCTCCGTGTCTGAGGTCTCCTCAGTGTCTGAGGTTTCCGTCTCCTCCGTCTTTGAGGTCTCCTCCGTCTCTCCTCCGTCTCCTCCGTCATCCTTCCCCTTCTCCTCTTACCTCTCCCCCTCCTGTTCCTCCTCCTCTCCTCCTCCTCCTCCTCCTCCGCCTCCTCCTCCTCCTCATCCTCGCTCGTTCGCTTGCTCTTCGGGGTTTAAAAGCTTGAGCCCGTGCCAGAAGTGAGAAGGTGATCGGCATGCAAATGCGAATTCATGCAAGGGGGAGGGGGTCAAGGCGACACCACGATGGGGGGGGACAGCGAGTCCCCTTCGGAGCGCTGTACTGCCACGCCAGGCAAAGGCGGTCCTGTCGGAGAGGCAATTGGGCCAGGGGTGGGTCCCGAGACCATGCCCCAGGCGGCCCCCCCTCACCAGAATTCCTCGAGACGCAACTGGCAGACGACGGGG